AGGCACCGATGATGCCTGCTAGAGAGAGCGGGGGAGGAGGTACCCGAGCCTCGCACGCCAACGAAGGCCGTGAAAGATGGCAGGAGGAGGACGTCGGCTGAGAGAGAGGGTGGGAGAACGACGACAGCCATGAAAGGCTTGAAGACGGTGCACGAGTCCCGAATCCTGCCTCCTGTTTTGCAGCAAGGCCTCTACACTATGCCTCACATTCAATCCCGGTGGCCAAGCTGTGAAGTAGGGGCGGGGACAGGGAGGCGGAGCAACGAGCCATCTGTCCCTCTCTCACGCTGTCAACACCAGATCAGCATCAGCTGGCTCTCATTAAGGACAGCGTGAGCACCTGAGCCGCGGCTGACGTCCTCCTCCCACTGTCACTCGCGGCCTCCAGCGGCGTGCGAGGCTCGGGCCCACCTTCCTGTCCTGGTCACCGGGCCCACCTTCCTGCCATCACTGCCTGCGGGTTGGGTGACTGGTACATTATCAGTGTGTGTGTGTGTGTGTGTGTGTGTGTGTGTGTGTGTGTGTGGTGTATGTTTGGACCCTTAACTCTGTAAGGCATTGTGGAGTTGAACCCAGGGAAGTTCCGTCTGGGGGAGAACGAGCTGCAGGAGAGGAGGGAGTTTGTGGAGAGAACGCGAAAAGCTGTTCAGGTACACACACACACACACACACACACACACACACACACACACACACACACACACACACTTTCATAATGCATTCATTACCTCCTGTAACGTTCATTACCCTCCACTAGGCCAGAATCAGAATCAGAATACTGTTCCACTAGTCCCCATGTGTCACAGTCCTCTCAGGCCCGCAAAATAATTTACATTTTCTATTAATATTAGCCCGTTTCACCTGGACCTGCACTACATGTAGGAACTTTCTGTGAGGGAGCTTTTAGAGGTGGACGTCTGGTTCCCATCACCACCACTGTGAACAGTTCTCAATACTTTAAAATCTGTGTTATGGTTTTAATGTGTGAACACGTGTTGGTGTGTGTGTTTGTGTAGGAGATGAAAGAGCAGCTCTCCAGTCCCTCGGCTTTAGCGCAGGCAGAGAAGAAGAACAGACAGGTGAGTTTATAAATACAGGATATCGGCTCTTTAATGGTTGTGATGTCACGTTTTTTGCAGTTTAGGTTCCATGTGTGGACTGTTTTGAAACTTAAGCGGTGTTTACAGACTGTTATCTTTTTATTTGTTAAAAAAGTAGGAAAGTTTTGTTTTTTCGGCCCTTTAATACTCGCTGACTCCACAACACAAATCTGTATCAACACACATCTCTTTGTCTGTCTGTCTGTCTGTCTGTCTGTCTATCCATCTGTCTACCCGTCTGTCTGTCTGTAGGCGCTGATGGGTGGTTCCACTCAGGTGAGGCATGCAGGTCTAGAGCCCCACCTGGTGTCAGCAAACTCCAGATACATCCAGGAGCAGCAGGAGCAGCAGCAGGTAACAAACACAGCTTCCTGTTTATAATTATTATTATTATCATTATTATTATTATTATTATTATTGTTATTGTTATTGTTATTGTTATGGTTTAGTGTTTGTATTTTGTAGTAGTGATGTAATGGCGCCCCCTGCTGTGTGCAGCTGATCGTGCAGGAGCAGGATGAGCAGTTGGAGCTGGTGTCCGGCAGCATCCGCGTTTTAAAAGACATGTCCACCAGAATAGGAGACGAGCTGGACGAGCAGGCCGTGTGAGTGACCTGCACACTGAGCTACATTAGCTGCTCTTTACACTGCGAGGTCATTTCACAGCTAATATGATGAGTAAATCATTATTCCCTGACCCAAATAATGTGAATAAACATGATTAATTACTTAATGCTCTTAAAATCATATCAAAACTTCTTGCAGAGGCACTGAGAAACCTTTCTTATAGAGGCTGAGTGTGAGCTTAAAAACCATGTTTTAAAGGGTAACTACACCAACTTTTCAAAATTCCCCCATAATTCAGTGTGTGAGGTGTAATCAGAGAGATTCAGAGCGGTTTGGTGTGAAATGGTTCAGATGTCTTTACAGTGGTGGTGATAGGAACCAGGGGTCGCCATGACTACAACACAGATATAGACATTTTATTTACTATCCAGAACCATGTATGGAATGTTGATGATGGAAAATAGTGGAAAATCTGAAATAATCAGTTTTCTTTGGGGACTATTTTGCCTCACAGCGCCCTGCATGTATCCCTCCACCATGAATGGAGTTTAAGTTCTCTAAACTATCATAAAACAGTGTCTCAGTCATCAGGCAGTGAATTCATAACCATTTACTGTAGTAACTTTCTGTGAGGGAGCTTTTAGAGGTGGACGTCTGGTTCCTATCACCACCACTGTGAACAGTTCTGACTCAGTAAGTTTATCTAGAACAGAGCGTTTCACACCAAACCACTCTGAACCACTCAGAATGGCTCTGTTTACATCTTAACCATCTAATTATGCGAAGAATTTCAAAAGTTTGTGAATTCTCATGTAATCCTGTGCTCTGATTGGCCGTCAGTCTGTGCTCCTGCTGATGCTGCAGGCAAACAACAAACACCCACCTCCGACTGAGTTCTCCACAGAGCGCTTTAGAACTTTACACGACGAGTGCAGAACTGAACTAAAACGACAGTGTAGACTGAAATATCATGAACTATAATCACTCCAATAGGGGTAGTAACTTTATTATATTTAGTCATTTTTATCCTGGAGGTTCCTGCAGCTTTCTCAGTCACTCTAGAATCTTCTACGGTTCTGATCATCATTCTTAACTTATTTTACACTTCTTTGTTTTTATTTACAGCTTCATACTGATCTGGTCTGTGAACTGTCGTTGTAGAGTTCCAGCATCAGATCACTGTCATATTTATCTGTATATGTAACTGAACTGGTTCTGTGTTACTGGTGATGGTGACTGAGGGCCGTGGTGGTGTTTTTCAGGATGCTGGGGGAGTTCAGTGAGGAGATGGAGCAGACGAGCTCCAGAATGGACTCGGTGCTGAAGAAACTGGAGAAAGTCTCACACATGACCAGCAGTGAGTACAGATCAGCCCCGATCACCCAGGACTCGTTTACTCCGTTCTAAACACAGACTGAAGTGCGTCAGCTAAAAATAGTAGCCGACTTCCTGAAGGCTAACTTTAGTCTGTACGTCGTGTTTCTAGATGACAGAGTGTCACACAGTGTCAGAGCCACCTAATCAGCTCTGCAGCACAAAGCAGAACACAAAGCAAACAGCTTTATATTAACCGGCTTCTGTTTCAGACGTTCTGTCGCATTTTAAATAGAGCTTCTTCAGCTGGAGCAGCAATAATCGCTTAAAGCCAAACAGCAGAGCTTCTTATTCTGATTATCCTGTTCCACCTTAAATGGTGCAGCAGTTACAGCAGCCACCTTGGACACCATAGCAATGGCTGAGCAACACCTTAGCAACCACCTGAGATACAAAAGCAACAGCCTAGCAACACCTTAGCGACCACCTGAGATACAAAAGCAATTGCTTAGCAATACCTTAGCATCCACCTGAGATACAATAGTGATTGCTTAGCAATACCTTAGCGACCACCTGAGATACAATAGTGATTGCTTAGCAGCACCTTAGCAACCACCTGAAATACCATAGCAACAGCTTATCACCGCCTTAGCAACCACCTGAGATACAGTAGCAACAGCTTAGCAATACCTTAGCAACCACCTGGAATATCAATGCAACAGCCTAGCAATACCTTAGCAACCATCTGAGATACAATAACGATTTCTCAGCAACATCTTAGCAACCACCTGAAATACCGTAGCAGTGGCCTAGCCGCACATTGGCAACCACCTCAAATACAATAGCAACTGCCTAGCGACACCTTAGCAACTCCTGGGATATAATAGCAACAGCCTAGCATCACCTTAGCAACCATCCATAATATTATAGCAACAGCTCAGCAGCACCTTAGCAACCACCGGAGATACAGTAGCGATTGCTTAGCAACACCTAAGCAATCACCTGAAATACCATAGCAGCAGCTTTGTCAAGCCAACCTGAAGTTCAGTGATGCTCCTTCCTCTCTGAGTCAAACAGGTGTTTCCTGTAGTCGTTGCCTTTTAATGCTGGAGCTCTAACGCAGCGCATGATGATGACACAGCTTTACATCTGGACTCTGACCCGCCAGAACCCTCAGTAAACACGGTTCTGCTTTGAGCTTGGCCCGTTGTTTTTGCCCAGCAGTGTAGATACATTTACATCCACTGCAAAAGTGCATCATAAAGAACGTGGAGAATGAGATGTGGCTGATTTCCTTGAGAGGCCTTTGAGTTTAATTAGCTGTTTTGTGTATCATGTTGTTTATGAGGTAGTTTATGTTGTTTATGAGGTAGTTTATGTTGTATGTATCGTATTTTAGTCTGTTGAGTCTGTGAGGCTGCCTCGTTGACCTGGTCTGGCTTATAAAAGAGATTCTTTGATCTTAATAGGACGTCCTGGTAAGATAAAGGAAGTGAAATGAAACCCTCCACAGCTCAGAGAGGAGCTCTGTGTGGAGGGACTCTGTAATGCAGCGGTGGGTTTGAGGAACAGGCTGTGAGAGTGACGGGTTGTTGTTACACTGTGTTGCAGGTAGGAGGCAGTGGTGCGCCATCGGCGCCCTCGTCATCATCCTGATCGTCGTCCTCATTCTGTTCTTCGCGCTCTGAGCGCCACCTGCTGGATCTGCCTGGCCTTTACACGTTCTGCCTATAACAACCGCCTCACACTGGGGGGGCTTTCAGAGAACAGAGGAAAACTATAACCCCCTATAACCCCCCCACCTCTTTACCTCTTTACCTGTCTGTACTCCAAACTCTCTCTCTCTCTCTCTCTCTCTCTCTCTCTCTCTCTCTCTCTCTCTCTCTCTCTCTCTCTGGGATGGGGTTTCTGTGTATGGTACTGACTGGACTCCTTCATCGTGAGGCTGATGGAGGGATCAGTTGGCGGTTATTTTATTTTTCTTTGAGTACGATTTCTTTATTTTACTATGGGACAGATTTTATGGTGGGGGTTGGGGGGGTCAGTGCTGCCTTATTATATTTTTATACACTGATGGTTCACAGTGCAGTACGGTAGTTATGTAAAATTTGACCGCAGACGTTAACTGTAGTAGATTACAAAGTGTTTTATTTTGTAAAGTTTTGCTTATTTGTTTTAAACCCATAAGCTGACGATCTTAAAAACCAAACAGAAGCACAACTGACCGTCCTCCAGAGGTACTGGGGCTGCACGATACCGGCGGAGTATCAGTATTGTGATAGTTATTGATTATATTGTGATTTAAAACTCATCAGCGAATCGATAATGTTGGGGGATTAAAGACTGTCCTGCTTTACTGTAAAGCGATTTCACAAACAGTCAGAGAATCATGGTTAGAGGGTTCATTTGCATACATGTAAATGTATGAGTTGTCACCCCCTGCTGGACACTCCATGCCTTGCCCATTAAAGGAAAACTCCAGTGTTCTTTAATCTGTCACATCTAAACTATACGGTCAGTTACAGCAGACAGCACACATTAAAAACTGCATTTTGATTGGTTAGAGGCTCATTTGCATATTGCCTTCTGAGATTTAAGGCCATAATCACTGTATTGATTAAGGAAGGACGCTGCGCGGCTTAGACTGAACTGCTTTTGCTTCTGTTGTGTAATTAATGCACTGTTAATGCGACGGAGTGTGTAGATACTGTAAATTCAGGAGGAATTTAGAAATTCTGGATTGTCTGTTTTAGTAAGGCGGGTGAACTAGAGGTCGTTTGGACTCGTCGTGGCCCTCTGCTGGACGGTCCATGCCTTATCCAGTGTTTCCAGCAGTCAGGCTTTACTTCACTGTAAACCTGATTTGTGCATTAAAGGAAAACTCCAAAACTTCAGCCTGGTCTCTGTCTGCTGTGTCTGCAGTGTTCAGCCAATTAAAACACAGGGATTAATTAAAGTGAATAAAGTATGTTGAAAGCTGTGGAAGCACGTTCTCACCAGCTAGAGGAGATAAAATCTTGTGGTTTTCCGCTCCTCTGTTTCTGCCAGCAGACTGTACAGATACTGACTGATCTCAAAATAGTGATACACTATGTCAACTTCACAATTTTGACTTGGTATCTTGAAATAATGACTTTCATATTTAAAAAAAAAGACTTAATATCCCAAAATAATGACTGATTATCCTGAAAATTTGAACAGTTATTTGTGCAAAATGTGTCATTGTTGAGAAAGTCATTATTTTGATATGTTGGCCCAAATTAAAAAAAGTCTTTTTTTTTAAGATTCAAAATTGAATGTTAAACGTTCTATGTTGAAATATCAACTATCCTGAAATAATGAAATTTTCTCAGAATTTTCATGCAGTACCTTGAGATAATGACCTGCTATGCCACAGAACTCATTATTTCAAGATAAGTCATTTCAACATAGTTTTGACATAATAAGTTATTATTTTGAGACACTACATCGATATTTGGGCTGCTGCCGGAAAGAGAAGCGGATTTTTCTCCTCTGGGTGGCGAGAATGAGCTTCCAGTCTTATAACAGAAGCCAGCAGGCCGATATGGGCAGACAGAGGTCAGGTGACACAGGCTGGAGTGTCCTGTTAACTGTACGACTCACTGATTGGTCAGATTGTGAGTCTGTGTGAAGCGCAGTGCTTTGTATGTATATAGAACTTAGTAAGTCAGCCTTCCGTTCATGTAAGGAAATGTGATTTATATCAGACTTACGGAGCGAGTCGTCTCCGTTCTTCACGGCGGGACGAACAAAAACAAACCCTATTCGTAACGTCAGCATCAGTGCTGGTCCTGGATCAGTTTGAGGGACTAAACACAGTGTAAATATTAGAGAAACCTGATCCCGGATCAGCACTGATGGGTTAAAGGGCCGAAATCTCGATAAACACATTGTTAGTTTCAAAGTGTGCCTGTTTTTGTGATGTCACATTTGCATATATCTGCCTACAGCAGTTTAGCCCCGCCCTTTCACACTGATTGATTGGAGTGACTGAACAGAACCACTGAAGAGGAATGAGGCAGGGTCGGTCATGGCGCCCCCTGCCTGCTTGTGTACAGAACTGCAGCGTTTAATACTGTCAGTGTCTGAATGTGGACGTGTACGGTTATAAGTGTGAGTCTGGACTGTAAACTAGACTGAAAATATTCATACAAGAACTGTTGTATTAAAAACACAGCTTCGGAAAAAAGTCTGTCTGTGTCTGTTACCCAGAATGCACTCATCAGAATGGTACAGCTGCTCTTTGGTACGATGTCAGTGGTATCTTAAACTAAGATGTTTTATTTAATTAGGCAGAAATGTAACCTCACGATTCTTACAGATATTCTCACGTTTCACAATATGCATCACCATATTTCATTTTTCTGATGTTTGATACACTTTAACACACAAGAAAGACAAAAAAAGGACCAGTGGTGCAATATTTAACAAAACTATCAATAATGATGAATTAGTACTGGACGGTATCGGCAAAAAATTGTTACAGTATAATTAAGGTTACTGACTGTTTCAGTATATATTACTGTATAGTGTATTTATGCACATCTTTCAAATAAACCCATTTTGGATGCTGAAGTAAAACTGTTTTGTGGATTATCTTTGGCGTATTATTCTGGACGTCCTTTCATTTTTAATAAGAACCATATTTAACAACTGAAGTGAATCTAAAATATTTTTATTGGGTGAGAGAGTAAAAACAACTGATCAATAACGGTCAGATGTCAGTATTGTTTTCTAACCCTGTCGAGATGAAGGTGAGTGTAAAGCCCACAGCAGCTTCTCTAAACGCTGCTGAATGTAGTTTATCGTCCAAAAGTTATTTGTCTCGTGTTTTTAGTTCAGTGCAGACTCAATGTTGTTACCTCCCTGATAAGCTGATTGAGGCTCTCAAAATGTCGTAATTATTCTTCTAATTCTTTGAACATTTTCTGATCCGAACATTCGCCAGCTGCTTATTCGAATTTTCCCGTTCCACCTTAAACGGTGCAGCAGGTACATTCTGGTGCCTGAGGCATTATAACTAAAAACTGCTTAATTTAAGGTGGAACGGAAAATTTGAAAAAAAGCTGACTTCAGCTTCGTAGTTTTAATGCTGGTAGTATTTTTTGATAGGACTATTTAGGCTGTCAGAATGTCATACCGAGAGGTTTCATGTGTGGAACTGCTTGTAAATATGCATTATGAGAGGACATTTCAACAAGGTAGAACAATTCTTTGGAACACCGACTAGTCTCCATGCTAGGATAATGGCTAACAGCTAACCCCAAGAGACTGGCTTTTCCTTCGGCTCTCTTTTCCCCTCAGCCTGCAGCTCATTACACAAGAGGTGAGGGACTCGCTGTGTCCTCACCTGTTCGTATGTTGCGTTATCTGCATTTATTTGCATACCAGTATAACAGTAATGACTAAACTAATACCTTTAAAAAGAATTCCCACCAGTATACCAGATAAACCGCTAACTAGCCCATTACTACTATGAATACAATGATTTTTATTAACATTTTACATTTTGTGCTGCACTGAACCTAATTGAACAGCACTAACGCTACTCAGTTTTTTGTAAACATGCGGTTGTTCAGTATTTTTAGGTACTGATGATCTCACTATGCATATTATGACACAGTGTGATGTGATTTATGTGATGTACTTTAGCCAGAATGCATGTTCTGTGGAAAGCAGATCTGTTAGCATGCTAGCTAAGCTCTCTCCTAGTTAGTAGCACTGTTTAACATTTAGCAGTTGTTAGATGGATGGTTTGAAAACTGTGCACCTGTTTGCACCAATTAACACGTAGGGCTATTGTTTATTACTCTGTAGACGTTAACTGATGTTGTTGTACTCTGATAGCTGTGAAGGAATTCTTCCACAAAGACTTTATACCCTGTATTTGTTTGTACACCCACATTTGTGTGTTTAGTGTTCATGAATTCTGGACAAATCCTAGGATTTCAATCTTGGCAACTGTAACAATGAAGTGACTTACCTTTCCAAGCTGAGCTGAAAAGATATAAATGCCAGTATTGCCGAGGTTATTAAACATCCATAAGGCAATAGTTTAATTGGTTTTACTTTGCACTTCTGTTTCTTGTGAATGGGGCCTATAATGTTATGTTACCACGACAGGCTAGCTCTCACACATGCTGGGATCGGTATGCCAGTGATCGATACTTTGGACCCCTTCCACACCCAAAAACAGCTTTCACACTTGGCCAAATGTACCAAGTTCTCAGGGCAAACAGTCCTGGGTCCAGAAAAAACTCTAGTGTTAAAACACCCTTGTAAACAAGCAGACTAGGAGTGGGCCTAGAACTGAACCCTGGGGAACTCCAGTAGTGCGGGGCTAAAGAAAATCCATTCTTGGCTTCCTTAATGGGATCAGATGTACGTGGACAGAGAGTATTACATACCATATAACCTGTTTTCCCGTCGCAGAACTACGCAAGACTTAAAAATACACCAGTATATATTATCAGTAAATGTCACCAGGAAAAACACACAGTCCAAAACCTTTTGTTACAAACCTTTTTTATTAAGATTTATTCAGATTTCCATATTTATTACAGTAGTTAATGTGCAATTATCTTTTGTATTGGGTCACAGTAAAGGAGTTCACAAAGGTATTGGCACTTAGAAACACAGAGAAACACTGGCATGAACTCAGGTCGTGGGGGGGGGGTCACAGAGGGGGGTTGGACATCAGTCAACATTACTGCAT